AGCGCTGCACGCGTCGACGCCGCGTCGCTCTCAATACGCGCGCTCAGCTCAATGCAAGAGGCCAATTGCAGTCGAGAGAGCGAGTGCGATGTGTCTGTTCGAGCGAGCGCTCGCTCCTTTGGCAACATGTTGCGCGCAACATTTTAGCATTTATTTTAATTAGATGCGTGTGGGGCACATGGACAGCGGCAGCGGGGCGGCGTCTAGGTTAACCAAAAAGTTGTTTGCATAAATGCAGCAGGATATGAAACAAATGTATAAAGAGCGCAAGAGCCAGAGAGCGAGAGGGAGAGTGAGAGAGAGTGAGAGAGAGCGAGCGAGAGTGTGAGTGAGCCTGGCAATGTTAATGAACTGACGCCAACTGAAGCTGTTCAGATGCTTTGACTAGGGGGGGATGTGTATAGTGGTGGAGGGGGGGGGGGGCTAGTGTTAGATTGTACGGGCATTTGGCAAGGATTCCGCTGTGGATTTGCCAAGAAATGATATTTTTATAGTCGCCCGTTGTGGTGCAAAAGCGAAAGCAGCCAAGCACCGAGGCGCGTGGGCACCAGAGAAATTAGGGGAAAAACAACTTTGCAGCACACACACACATGCACACACACACACACAGAGAGAGAGATATATGTCTCAAGGCTGCAGCTGCACCAAAATGCGGCACAAACAACTGAAATGGGACAAAGTAATATCGCACAAGTAAAACAATACCACAGACAATAAAAAATATGCCCCCCACCGCTCAGGACCTCCCCTTCCCCTCGCCCTTTCACCCAATTGCGTTAACTCTGTAAAAGGCTTAGATTAACGAAATTGTTACGGTAATTTAAGTTGCCTACTTAAAATCGACTTTTAATTGTCAACCGGCAGCGAAAATCATCATGATCTATGAAGAAGGGCAACTTAAGCTCTATCACATGTAAAACATCTATTTTATAACGTTAATTTGAGGGAATTTATGTTCGGTTTTGTTAGAATATGTTAGGTTATGTTAGAAATGCTTAGGTTATGCGAGAATATTATATTTTATAGGTTGTGTTAGTATATGTTAGATTATGTTAGCTTATTTCGGAGTATATTAGGTTATGTGAGATTATGTAAGGTTCTGTTACGCTTTCTTGAAATATGTAAGGTTATGTTACGCTTTCTTGAAATATGTTAGGTTATGTTAGCTTATTTTTGAGTATATTAGGTTATGTAAGAATATGTAAGGTTATGTTACGCTTTCTTGAAAAATGTTAGGTTATGTTAGCATATAATGACTCTTGTTAAAATTTGTTGGGTTATTTGATAATTTATCAGGTTATGTTCGAATTTGTAAGGTTATGTAAGGTAAGGTCATAATATGTCATAGAATATGTTGGGGTTTGCAAGAATATGTGAGGTTATGTTGGAATATGTTTGGTTCTTTTAAAAATATGTAAGGTTATGTAAATGTATATAAGGTTATGTTACTATATGTGAGATTATGTTAGAATTTGTTAGGTTATGTTACAACTTGTGAGGTTATGCTAGAACATGTGGGCTTATGTTCGATTATGGTTAGCTGAGAGCTAATTTTAATGACAGACAGGTGAATAGAAATAAGGATTTTCACAGATACATACATGAAAAGAAACATTGAATTGAATTCAACCAGAATGAAAGGAATTGGTAAGGTTTTCGAATTCCCCATTGCAATCATTAATATTTCACGAAATGTAAACATTTTTCCGACCTTACTTTAATCGCTAAGCTGAGAATTTGGCAAGTGAAAGCGTTAATATAAAGCGTCTATTTTTGAAGGTAAGAAAAACTTAGGCTATGCTTTTAATTAAATTAAATAAGCAATCTAATGTAAACAATTGAACTGAACTGGCTTTTGCACATAACCTCAAAATGGTATCAGAGCGCGTACCTAACCCAAAAATCTACTTGTAATGCGACCAAAATGTAATTTTACACTTTGCACAGTTTTGCAACCACTTAACCTCAACCTCAGACCAACTGCAGCAGCAGCAACAGCAACAACAACAACAACGGCAACCCACCCTCATAGATAAGCGGCCGAAGAAAAAAGGAGGGAAGGGAAGCAAAAAATGCAATGTAAACTGCGCCATATTGAAAACTGTCAGCCATTAAAATTTATAGAAATGTGCGAACACTGTAACGCCGGCAGCGACGCTGGCAGCGGCTCAATGTGCGCCTAAAATGCGTGCAGCAGCAGCGCCAGCGACAGCGACAGCGACAATAAAAGCAAAAGCCACAGCAGCAACAACAGCAACAACAAGAATAACAGTGCAATCAGCTGGGCTCTTTGGGGAGCCGTAGTAAAAAGTAGTAAAAGCAGCTGCATACGAAAAAACAACAAGAACAGCAGCAACAACAACAACAACAACAACAGCAAGAACAACAAACACAAAGCAACTCAAGAGCAAATAAAGGTCGCCCAACAGCTGCGTAGCAGCGCCGCGTGCAGTTGCAGCAAGCAGAGACAGCAACTGAGCGCACAGTCAAATGTAATGCGCGCGTGCTCTCTTTCGCTCTCATGCACTCACTCACACACAAAACTGTGAATATGCCGCGCAAGCGGAGGGGTGTGTGTGTGTGCGCCTGTGTGTGAGAGTCGTTCGCTGAGTGGGCTGGGTTTTTGTGCTGGCTAACTAGTCGCCGTCGCCCAGCCTAAAAGCAGATTTCATGTGTGCCTGTGTGTGTGTGAGAGAGTGCATGCGTGTGTGTTCGTGTGTGTGTACAACTGCACATGGCTGCTGTGTTGGTGTTGTTGTTGTTGTTGTTGTTATTGTTGTTGTTGTTGCTGTTGCTGTTGCTGTTGTTGCTTTAGTGGCGAGGCTCGTTTTTGTATGTGCGGCTGCTTGTGCGTCCATTGGGCATTGCACATGTGTATACGCCTGTGCCTGTGTGTGTGCGTGTGAGCTTTTGCTGTGTGTGCGTGCGTGTCAGGCAAAGCCAAACCCCTCCTCTACTGCCCAATGGCCTGTGCGGGGGGCGTTAAAACGCATAAATGTTGATTACACACAATTTCACATTTTTCTTTTTCAACAAAAATATAAAAAAAAAAATGGAAATAAAACGTTGTTGTTGCTATTGGTTTGAGGGCGGCGCGGGGGTGTGTGTTGACTGCGCGCCTATGTATGGTCAGCAGATGCAGCTGTTGTTGCTGTTGTTGTTGTTGTTGTTATTGTTGTTGTATTGGTTCAATTGCAAATGACCAAACAGAGGGGCGCAGTGTAAATATGTATGGCATATGTGAGTCGCTCTGTGTGTGTGTGTGTGTGTGTGTGTGTAAGTAGTGTGCATGCATGTACATATACATACGTATGTATATATGTATGTGTGTCTAATTGTTGCTGCTGCTGCTGTGCGGCATTTGAACAGCACGAGTTGGTTGCGTCGACAGAGACGTTCGCGTCAATGGCTCGAATATCAAGAAACGACCGAAAAGTTTTATGTTTTTACTTGTTGTTGTTGTTGTTGCTGCTGCTTTTTGAATACATGTAAGGGATACAAATGTAAAGGATAATGGAAATGTATGTGCATGCATGACATGCGGTGTGAGGTTACGTTTAGTTGGAACAACTGAAAACTCTAACTAGAATGCATGTTTCTCTGTTTAGAGCACACACATCTTTTTAATTCTAATAAGTAAATAAATATTTAAGAACATGCAGTGCAAATGTTGCATATAAAATAAAAATATTGAAAGGTCACACAGACATATGCAGAGATCATTCAGAGTGAGGTTGAGTTTAGTTGGGATAGCTTACATATCCACTTGGAATTCACGGCTAAACAAGAGACCTTTAATTCTAATTGGTAAATAAATATGTACGAAAATTGTATAAACAAAATAACAGAAATAAAGTCAGGGCAGAGTTCACGCCGAGATCTGCAGAGATTCTGCAGATTGAGTTTAAGTTTAGTTGGAATAACGGATAGCTCCAATTGGAAAACATGTTTCTGTTTATTTTCAATTTAGTAAATAAATATGTTGCAAAAATGTATGTAAAATAATATAATAGATGCAAATCAGGGTTCACACCGATAACAATTTTTATTAAAATTCTAGTTAAATAAGTGAAAACATTCTTTATATTTTTAAATAACGTTTTGTTAGCCAACATTTGAAAGATATAATTTTCTGATTTAAAAAAAAGATTCACTACTGTTAGACCTTATAATATTATATATATTACCCTTGATAATTAATTGAAAATATTATATATAATATATTCTTCAATTTGCTTATTAAAATATTTCTAAATAATATTTGTTGTAAAATATATTTGGAGAGAAAAATAATTTAAATTTCAATTTATTTGTATTCGAGTAAGGTCTGTTATATATATATTATATTTATTTTGTATCATTATTCAGGCAATTTCTTGCACATAATTGGGTTCAAACTGGGCCCTAGATTAGTTTTACATATTTCTTCGAGTACAGTCTGCATTTAAAACTCTTTCAATTAATAACTTATATTTTGTGTCAACTTTTCCCAGTAAATAATTACCTAAGTGCTTAAATCATAAATTGCAGCAATGAATGCTTAAATTATAAAAAGATATAGAAAATATAAAGTACTGTTCGGTAATCGACGTATGCCAATTCAATATGAAGCATTTGCTTCCAATTAGCATTTAAATGCTGCACAACGAAAGCTGCACGCTGCCAAATTCTCGTGAAACACATGTCACAAAGCTGCTTGCTATGACGAAAGCACACATTTGGTTGCCATGAGCGGCAGTGTTGCCAGCACATTGCCTTCATTTATATGTTATAAAAAAACGATTAAACTGCCTACTGCTAGCAAATACTAAAAATTATAATAATAATTACTAATTGAGCGGGGAAAAATAAAAGTTTTCTTCTAGCTCTTATAGCTTGGCCGCAATCGAACGCCGCATTTTTAACGCTCGCCCAGCGCAGTATCTGGCAACCCTGCGGCGCTGACATAGCGGCTTACACGCACACAACACATGCAAACGAGAGCCGCACACGTATGCACAAACACAAACAAAACGTGTATAGAACATTTTTTTCGACGTTCACAATTTTGTGCGGAGCTAGGGAGCTGCTGGAGCTGTAAAAATAAAAGCCAGCGAAATTCTGTGAAGAAATTTGTTATTGCAAAATACTCAAATAGTGCGTATTGTATTTGCTTATTTGTGTGCAGCTGAGTTAAACGTGAGCAATTTAACTGTACTACTGTGCATTCCTTTTTTTTCGGTGGCTGTCTTACAATTTTTTTTTGTTTCAATTTTATGTTGCGTTCCCTTCGTTCAGTGCAAGTGCAAGAACAACCGCAACAACAATAACAACAACAACAACAACAATTGACTAAAATACAATTCTGCATACGTTTTGACCACGCACTTGTCTTATCTTTGTGCCTGAGCCCGTATGTGTGTGTGTGTGTGTGTGTGTGTGCGTGCGTGCGTGAATAGGTAAGTTGCTTTTTAATAAATTCACAATTGCCGAAAAAAAAACACAAAAAGAAGAAGCAGAAAACTGCGTACGCCTTTTTTGGCTTTCTTTGTCTATCTTTCTTGCGTTTCGCTGAGCTTGTGTGTGTGTGTGTTTCAATTTTTGTTCTTTAATTTAATTTCTGTTGCTTAACTTTTGTTGGCTTCATATTGTTATTGATTTTTCATACAACGTGCGTGACAAATGTTGCCGCTAAGCTCCTCTGCCCAGCCTTTATACATTTTTCTTCTTCCCACAAACGGTGTGTGTGTGTGTGTGTGTGTGTGCGTCTGTGTGCAGCGGCTTTTGCCGTGTGTGCGTGTGTTTGTGCGAGCGTGTGTCGCCAAGAAATCAATAAATTTTAAAATAAAAATAAATATATACAATGGAAAACAAAGCACTCACATGCCAGCACCAAATTATACATTCCTTTTTTCGTTCTCGTTGTTGTCGTTGTTGTTGTTGTTGCTTTCTTTCGTTTTCGTGCCATTCATGCTGATAATTAGCGGTTGTTGTTGTTGTTGCTTTTGCTTTTGGCAGCCTTCTGGAATGTTCTTAAGTATTTCAGCTTTTTGTGCGCTGCATTTAAGCGCCACGCGTTGCACACAATGCTGCGTGCGGTGCGCGGCGCATTTGAATTATGCTCTTGTTGTTTTTAGCCTTGTGCATGTGCGTTATTGCCGTGCAGGTCTTCAAATTAGGCGCACACAAACACACACATCTTGGCAGTCAAATGGGGTTATGTAGCAGTTAGAGTCTTACACGCTTCAGGTTATACGTGCATTCCAAAAGCTTTTTTTTTTCAATAAAACATAAACTGAAATATAAATAATTTGAACATTTAGAAAACTTAAAGGCAAATAAATAGAATGTAATTAAATTTGACGCCTGTCTGAGGATGTTTTTGAGTACAAGGTGATTTGGCTTAAAGTAACCGATCTTGTGTTTAACAAGAAGCGAGCCTTGCCCTATTAATTCAAGTGATCCTTAGCTTGGCTTCTCTTTTTAACAATTACGAATTCCTGGTCCGAAATTTACATTCTTATAGCTACTTAGCACATAGTCGGAAAGACTCGAAGCCAAATGTGAGGTTGGGCATCTTTGCAAGATTTTGACTTGGTTTTAAGTCAGACTTTAAGATACATATCTTTAATTGATTTCATGACCCACGACGTTGCTCTTAGAAGATATTATAGTTCTATCACAAATAAGATATCTATAGGTATATACATATACCTGACGACTTGATGGTGCCCAGGTCTGCATTTATATATATATATATATATATATATATATAGAGAGAGAGAGAGAGAGAAAGTATATATAGTAGAGAGAAAGTAGAAGCAGAGATGACGCCCTTTAAAATCACAGCATTAAAAACATTGTATTTTGTTTTTATTAAATGAGAATCGCGTAGAAGGGCAGTATGTCAAACTGTATTTTTTTGTAGTGGGAAGTAAATTTTGGCTGCGCTTAGTATTAGTTAGTATTAGTATACATAAAGATGAACATAAATATTTATATACCTATTTACATAAATAAATATTGTGTACATAGATTCATGCATACATACATATGTCCATACATACATACATACATACACGCATATATACAAAATATTTATACATTTATACACACATATACACAGATACATATATTATATACTTACACAAAAACTGTGCTCACACATACATTAACATAAGCATGCACAAATATTATGTAAATACATACATACACATGTGCATACATACATACATACAAAAAATGTACAAACACAATTAAAAAAGGGGGAAGCAAGTTTTGTCAGCATTTTGTAAACGAACACACATAGCGAACATTACCCGGCATTGCCCGGGCCAAGTTGTTATCTTATTACATTTTCAACTATTTTGCGGCAGTGGAAATATTTCCGAATGGATTTTCGTTAGCAGCAAATAAAAAAATATTCATATGATTAACAAAAAGGGATACCAGGCGATCGCAGAGATACTAAAGAGCTGTAATTAACATTTTTCGGCCGTGGGATGGAAGACTTAAAATTTGTCAAAAACGTCTTCAATCGAATCTTACAACCCTTAAAAAATTGCATTGCAACTGTGTAACGCGATTTTATGAAGTTTTTGAGAGATATTTTCAATGGGGCTCAAAATAGATTTTAAGTAACTTTGTGAAAATCTATGTGAGACGTGTTTCAACGATTTTTGAAATCTGAACATAGTAAAACGGCTAGATTTAAATTTGTTTCGGACGGAACAAAGGTGGAAAAAAATATGTCTGTAATAAAAAAAAAACGGAAATGCTTTAATGCCACTTAAGGTAGGGTGTCTGCTAGTCGACCAAGCACACTTTGCTGTCAACACTTAAGACTTGTTGCTGCCGCCAAATGCAAATTTACGAATAGTTGTTTAATTGTTGCCTTAGACTTGTGGACTCCACAAGCACCCTGCACAAACACACAGACGTACACACGCACACACGCACACACATGTCGCTTGTATCTGGATCTGTGGCATCGCTTTGTATCTTGCAGCTGCTGCAATAAAATGCAGCAGCGCAAACTTTTTGCCGTTTGGTGAAAGCGAAAGTCGAAGAAGGTGGCAGCGAGTGCAGGGACGTGCACCTGCCACACCCATATGTACACACACACGCACACCACACACACACACGACCTTGAAATACACTCTAGAACAACAACAACAACCACAACAACAGCAGCAGGAACTTTGTGAGGGTCTCAATTTTCACGCTTTTACGCTTTTTTGCCATTTTCAGAGCACAGCAACAACAACAACAACAACAACAACAAGCAGAAGAAGCTGAAGAAGAGATAGCAGCAGCAACAGGATGTCCGGTCTGCCACGTCGTATTATTAAGGAGACGCAGCGCCTGATGCTGGAACCGGTGCCGGGCATCAATGCGATACCCGATGAGAATAACGCACGCTATTTCCATGTGATTGTCACCGGTCCGAATGATTCGCCCTTCGAGGGCGGCATCTTTAAGCTGGAGCTCTTTTTGCCGGAGGACTATCCAATGTCGGCGCCTAAGGTGCGTTTCATCACAAAGATCTATCATCCGAACATCGATCGTTTGGGCCGCATCTGTCTGGACGTTTTGAAAGACAAGTGGAGTCCGGCCCTCCAAATACGCACCATTCTGTTGTCCATTCAGGCCCTGCTCAGCGCACCCAATCCCGATGATCCGCTGGCCAACGATGTGGCCGAATTGTGGAAGGTCAATGAGGCGGAGGCCATACGCAATGCCCGCGAATGGACTCAAAAGTATGCGGTCGAAGACTGAAGCGCAATGCGGTGGGAGGGCGAGCGGGAGGGGGGGGGGGAAGTTGGGCAACTGTCCAAGCGGGCAAGTGGGTGGGGGAACGCGGCTGGGTTGGGTGGCTCTAGGTGCTTGTGGGGCGTTTAGGGCCGGGCAGGGGGGACAAAAGGGTTGGGGCAAATAATTGCAAACAAAATACAAACGAAATGCAAGCGAAACAAAAACAAACTCTTATAATATATAAACGCAGATCTTTATATATATATGTATAGTATTTGCTGTGCGGTTCGCTTGATGTGCAGAGGAGGCCGCTCTGATTATGCTGCAGTTGATTATGATATAATAATAAACTATGTTATAAGGCAAACAAGATGCTCCACAAAAAAAAAAAAAAAAAAAAAAAACAACAACAATAAAAATAAACCAACAATAGATCAAAGAAAACCTCATATGGAACTTCGTAAATTTTGTATACAATAATAGAAAACCTAGGCATACGGAGTTCTACAAAACGCCCGCTCTAAATATCCAGGGAAACTTCAAACACACACACACACACACACAATAATAGTTCTGCGAGAAGAGAACAATATACTACATGAAAAAAAAAAAAAAACAACAATATATGTATGTATATACATAACTATTGACATTTGATATTAACGTTGTTCGTACATATGTGAGTAATAGTGCCGTTTATATAGTATAAACATTTGCTTTAAGGGAACCGAACCAATCGGCGAATCGAATTGTTCATGAACGTAGAATTTCACAAATATCAGAGTTGCATTTTGTGTCGTCTTGCATTTCTTTTATTTGTCGTGCGAAATTTCCTTTTGATATTTCTATTAGTCTGCAGCCAAGATTGGGCTCTGGTTCCTCAGCTTTTTATCAATATGTACGAGACATCAATAATAAGAAACGAGCCTTTTATGGAATTAGTACTTTACACACGTAAATAATAAATAAATAAAAATAACAAAAACAAAAAAAACTGCTGGCTTTATTTTTAATTTAAGTGGTAACGGGTCTTCAAATTTAAAACTTAAAATAAGTGTCTAGCTGGAAAGCTGCGGCATTTCGAATAAACTTGGGAAAGTCTTAAATCAAATTTTTTGTTTCAAAATTAAACAAAAATAAAAAAAACCTTTAGCTTGAAACTTTAAGTACAAATTTTTAACCCAAAAACAGCAACAGGACCCAAAAACAGGCTCTGATAAATTCGCAAAATATTTCCTTTAGATTGTAAATCCAAAACACCAAATATTTCAGATTGAGAAATTAAAAGAGGAAAAAAATGCAATCTCAAATTCAGAAAACTAATTAATAACGGATTGACAATGATTATAATTAATAACAGGGAAAATTCTAAATAAAATTAAAAAGAAAATATCCAGAAAACTAAGAAGAAAATTCAAAAACGAAAAACCAAATGACATGAAAATGTAATCCCGAAATCTTTAAATGGAAAATTTCGCAAAAAATCAAAAACTAATGTAGATTAAAAATTATAAAAAGAAAATATGTAGGCTCACAACAGTTAAGAGGAAAACCTAGCTTCATTCGGAATACAAATTATTTTAGATTTAAAATTAAGTGAAAATCTGAAAAATTCGGAAAACTAATGTTTCAGATTGGAATTAAAAAAAAGAGCAATTCCAATAACAAAAAAAGTGAACACCTCTGATAAATTCGCAAGACATATTTTTCAGCTTCAAATTTAAAAAAAAAAAGCAAAAATATATAATTAAGACAGGAAAACCTCTGATAAATTCGGAAAACAAGAACTTCAGATTAGAAATTTAATCGCAAAAACTTTAAATGGAAAGTTCGGAAAAATTCGGAACACTAAAAGAAGTAAACATAATAACAGTAAAGGAATAACTTTTGATAAATTTGATATAAAATTATCATTTTTTTTTTTTGTCTAACTCAAGTTAATCTACATAAGTGGAAAGTTGTCCAAATATTGAAGTTGTCTGGGAAAAATGTAGAATTTATTCTCTAATTAGAAGTTTATCATCAACCTGAACTTCATTTGAGTTCTTCCGCATTTGTTGTTGTTTTTGATTGTTGTATTATAGTTGCCCAGAATTAGAGAAACAAAAAAGCAGCTCAGTTGAAGCCAGTTCGGCTGGACTGTCTGCCCTGCTGGTCCTTTGAGTGCAGTTGTCAATCATGCTGTTGCGTGGGTGGGTTGGGCTCTCAAGGCCTGGCCACAGGGGTTGGGGTGGGCGAGTGTTGCGGCCGATGCGGGTGCGAGTGCATGCGAGGCCTTAACCCTTTTTATAGGGTGGCCAAATTGTTGGCCACACCCCGAGCCGTTAGCATATGCCTGCTGATTGGATGCGCGTCTCTGTGTCCTATGCGTCCTTCTTGTTGTTGTTCCTATTGCTGTTGTTGTTGTTGTTGTTGTTGTTGTTGCTGCTGTTTCGCTCCTCGAGGCTGTTGCACACCAGGCTCTGGCTCTGGCTCTGGTACTGGCTTTGGTTTCGCCTTTACCTCTGACCAGGCCGGGGCAGTCAAATGTCGAACCTAACGATTTTTTTTGCTGCTCTGTTTTTGCCCTCACTCTGGTTCTTCCGACCAGCTTGCTGTCTCTCTCACTCGCTCTGTCTCTCTCTCTCTCACTCTCGCTCTCGCCTTTACGCTTCGGCTGTCTGTGTGATGTATATTTCTTCTGCTGTTTTTTTATATTTTATTTTATTTTTTTTGTGTCCAGTTCCATATAGCTTTTTATCGCATTACACACGCTCACACCCCCGCCCCCGAATTGTTCAACGCATATGCAGAGTGACCAGCTCTCTGCAATTGAGTGGTGTGGAGGTGGTGGGGGGGGGGGGGGGTGGTAGGAGCGGGCGAGATGGTGGCGATAGAGGTGGCGGCGGCGTTTGGTTGAGTGCTTGAGGTGAGGATTTTTATCGGCAGCAGCTTCATTGTGCTGTGCGCTGTGCGCTGTGTTTGCATAGACAAAGGCGAGGCCGAAGCCGAGGCCGAGAGACCGCAACCAGGGCGAGGGAGAACACGGCCGTAGTCGGGTGGCCGGGGGGGTCTAGGCGCCAGACTCGGGCTTGGCCAACTGGCCGGCTATTAATCGTTTTCAAGTTGAAAGTACACAGTGCACAGAGCTCCTGCGAACGACTCCATGTGTGTGGCACCTGCTGCGGGCTAGTGGTCGACCCACCCAAACGCCGCCTACGTGTGAGTGCCTGCGTGCCTCTGTGTGTGTGAGTGTGAGTGTGTGTGTGCGTGTGTGTGTGGCAGCGCCCGTTGTTGGTCTCTCTGCCATGTTACCTGCAGCAGTTGCGCAGCGAGCAGATAAGGCATTGTCCCAGCTCCGAAAGCCGGAAACATTAGGCCTGCTTCGATCTACTGCCATCGCTTCTACTGCCACTGCCACTGCCACTGCCACAGCTGATTTATGTGACAATTTTGCGTTGCGCTCATAATTCGTGGCGCGCTTTATCTGCAGATCTTCAAGCTGCCCGTTCTGCTACTATCTTATCTGGCTTATTTTGTCTTATCTGCAAAGAAAAAAGTAAGCGCAGTGTTGGTAAGTGGCTAAAAGATCGCCTGAAAAAGCTCTGCCATTTGATTTATTTTAGCAGAGTGTGTTAGCAGCCCCAAGCAGCGCTTAAATTAGCTGATCTTTCAGTTTTAATACATATGCTAGTTTTATTATTGTAGCATATTGCAATAGCTGACCCAACTTTTTGCTTTAATATTTCTGATTAAATCAACATATATAGTGTTGATCATTTTTCAGTCAGTGTTGGTAACGGGACGTCAGAAGCAATCTTTAACTTTTGATGATGAATATTTATAGCATTCTTTGAAGGATTGGAAACACCAATAGAGTGTATTAATTAGGCATATAGTGTTATAATTTCTCTGTCAATGTTGGCAAACTGAATTAAAATAGATAATTTGATTTTCTTAAGCATTCGACTATAAACATTATCGTTAAATGGTGGACAGGCATATGTGTCTGTATATAAATCTAAAGCGAAGCAGCATATTTTTATGTTTATATTTAGATATTAGAATGTGTAGAATAAGACTTAAGATATATTCAAACCATTTATCCACATACATGAAGCTGTTTGGAATGACTGACTGATTGATTGATGATCAATGCACAGATAGCGAAATAATTCACCATAGTTAGTCTATGTGGTGCATGCTTTCCAGCACTGTACACTGTATTACAGTGTTGGAAAGCATTACTCGCAAGTGTGGAATATTTGTGAAAATCGGTTATATATTATTTATATTATTAACAACCCGATCAGATGAAACTTATTTGCCAAGAGCCTTGTAAAAATGCATTCACCTGTTTCAAACTTTCCCCTCACCCCCTCTCACAAGTCCCTTGTAGCAAACGGGGTCACGGGAGATAAATTTAGTTTCTTCCGGCTAACTTCACACTCCATTTATATGTCTATTGTAGACAAAGACTCATTTTAAAACAACTATGTAAAATGTGCCGCTAAGAACCAATGATATTAACATTTTGGCCCGAACAAACAAACAAGCCGGAACAAGGCCGGGTAATATGCGCCAGAATACTTGGATTAAAGCACAAACAAACTAAAGTGTATAAACGGGTCATTTGTGGGGCAACCCAACACATATTTCTAGCTATTTATCTACCTATCCAACTAACTATCCACACATTTATCTAACTACCCAACTATCTACAATGTTAACTGTTTAAATTATCTACAAGCACAACAAATGCTCCGTGTTGTATGTGCGAATGATCCAGAGGAAAGCCAAATAAACAGTGCATGAAATATATGTATACACAGAATGTATAGGTGTGCACTTTATATATATATATCTATATCTATTTATATATGTATTTATATATCTATATGTATATAAAAAAATAGACAGTTTGCAGCAACTGTTTTTTGTGCCGTTCTGGTCAGAAACAAATGCCCAAAACGCTTTCACGTTCATCTCGGCCAAAAGCTGGCAGTAGTTCCGTGTGTGTGTGTGTGGGGGTGGGGGGGGAGTGAGGGGGAGGG